CCTTTGTAGTTATTAATGTGAAATCTCGATAGTGATTTGCTCAATTCACAATGATGTTTCAATGTGTTATTTTAGGAGACTTTTCTAGTGCCTATTGCATGATTCTAAATTTTCTACTGAATCTTTCAGCTTGGTTTGGTGATTGATCTTACCAATTCAAGTCGATACTATAATCCACTTGACTTGAAGAGCGGTGGTATGAAGCACGTGAAGGTGCGATATATTTGCTGTCAGCCTAACTTCGCATTTATTTACTTTCTGAACCTCTTTCAATATGGTTCTTTGTCTCTTAACTGACTTGCCTTGTATTTAGATTGCATGCAAGGGGCGTGATTCAGTGCCAGAGAATGAGGCTGTAAATAAATTTTTTAATGAGGTATATATTTTCATAGATTCACAACACACGCTCTTAATTTGATGGTGTTTACAGGTTCTAAAGTTAACATCTTTGTTGTTTTCATCTTTTATAAGGTCTTCCAGTTCGTGACTCGGCACAAGCAACAAAAGAAATATATTCTTGTTCATTGCACACATGGGCATAACCGTACTGGATATATGATTGTCCACTATCTCATGCGTACGCTGCCCATATCTGTCTCTCAGGTCAGCTAGCTGTACTTGTAACCTTTTCCTTAATTTGCTCGATATGTATTTTGACATGTCTCCCGGTCCTGTGCTTATATTCAGGCAATCAAAATATTTGCTGATGCACGTCCTCCTGGGATTTACAAACCAGACTACATTGATGCTTTGTACGATTTCTATCACGAGAAGAAGCCTGATATGGTTGTTTGCCCCCCAACTCCAGAGTGGAAAAGATCATCTGATCTCGATTTGAATGGTGACGCGATGCCAGATGATGATGACGATGATGGAGATTCTACAGCTCCTGTAGATGTATAATATAGTTTTATCTTTTCCTATAAGAAATTTTATTCCTTTACTGGAGGTGCACATTAGTATCTTGATGGTATGGCGCCTCTGATGTGCCATCCCCGTTAACGTTGGACATCGAACATTGTTAACGTTGGACATTGAACATTTCAGGATACGAAGGAGACACAGCTGATCATGACAAATGATGATATATTGGGGGATAAAATACCTTTTGACCAAGAACTAGCAATGCGACATTTCTGTTATCAGATTATGAAGTTGGCTATGCCACAAGGGGTAGGTTCTTTAGGAGTAGTGATCTTGATTAAAGCCAGTGTTTTGGAATTTCCGTTAACTGAGAAGTAGTAACTGAAGTCATTTATCCAACCCAAAATAACACCCTTTCATCGATTTTTATAACTTAGATGTATTTGTTGATTTTTAGATTGGTTTGGTGAATGCTTGTAGCATAAAAAAGGTAAAGAAAGAAAGCAAATCAATAATAGTTCAAAAGGAGTGTAATAAAGGTGTACGAACGAGAACCGAGACACTTTTTTTTAGTTTCAAGAATATTGTTAAATGGAACAAAGGGCCCAAGAAATTTGCCACCACAATTTATGGAAATATGCTCTCTCAGTAGGTCAGTTGCATCCTTTTGTGCTGATTTCTTGTTTGCAGGTCATGTCTGATAAATTTAATTTTTTAATCTACAGGCAAGAGGACCTCAGAATTTCCCTGGCTCACATCCAGTTTCTCTTAACAGGTCTCAGTCAACTTATTCTCAGATTGTAGGAACAACTTTTTGTGTTTTGATGAATAAATGTCTAGTGATAAATGATTTTCTTATTCTGCATATGTTGTGGTTCTATATATAAGTAATGTGCCAAGTTTTGATAACAAATTAACGATGGAGCCATACCAAGGTTGTAAGATGGGGAGTGGTGTTTGGTCACCGATATATTGTTGGTTGTCCATGCTACGCTTTATATTTTTCAATGTGTTTCACTGTAGAAACTAGAATAAATGATGGAAGGAATAGAGGGTGGGAGTGAATTCGTATAGATAGAAGACTTCGTCAATTTCTCAAAGAGCTGTAGACAGGGAAGATATTGAAATGGCGCTTGTTAGTTATAATTTATACTCGGTTTATGCCTTTTGTTTTGGCTCTCCTTCCCACAGCGCTAATTAAGAATGGATTGTCGAAGTAAATGCCCAACTTAAGTTTTTTATTTTGGTCCCATTAATCTTCTATTTTTTTTTTTTATTTTTTTTTTTT